GAGTTCAAGGCCAGCCTGTACTACATAGTAAGATGTTAGCTTCTAAGTTGAGATGTGCTCACACAAAATGCACACTAGATTTTGGAGACTTAGTATAAAAAAATACAAAGTATCTCACTAATAATCCATATTGTATGTGGAAATTACAGTTTTTAATATATTAGGGACAATAAAATAGAAAAACAAAAAACAAAAAAATCTGGCATGGTGGCTTATGCCCCTAGCACCAGAACATGAGAGGATTGCTTGAGTATCCAGGAGTTTGATCCCAACCTAGAAAACACAGCATGACTACGTCTCACAACATCCTTTTAGGCAATTCAAAAAAGGGACCAGTTCAGACAATGTGTGGCCTAACCCTGAAATATGTATAGACAATAGGTAACCTGGTGACCTCTGTTCAGAAAAGGACAGAGACACCCCAGGAAGCATGGAAAGCCAGCAAGGTACAGGAGGAACACTTTCAGTCCTCGTTTATTTGTATTTCTTCTCTTTAAAAAATAAATAAAATAACCCCAGCACTTGGGAGGCTGAGGCAGGAAAATTGTCATAAGTTCAAGGCCAGCCTGAACTGCATAGGGAAAACATGTCTCTAAAAAAAGAAAAAAAGGGGGGGGGCAGGGAGATAGCTCAGCAGAATAAGCGCTTGCCTAGCAAAAGCAAGGGCATGAGTTCAATCCCCAGTTCCACTAAATAAATAAACAAATTTAAAAAAAATTTTAAAAAAAGGAATAAAAAAGTATTACCAGTGGTTATTAAATGGACCTGTATCAGCATCTTCATCTGGTAGGCTCATCACTTGTATAAAAATAACTCCTACAGGTGCTGTGGTGGTAGAATTTATAGAAAGTATTCACAAGGCCCTGGGTTCAGTATCCAACACCAAACCAAACCAAATGTAATAAAGCAAACAAAGATGGGAAGGGTGGCCCATCTCAGCACTGAGGAGGCCAAAGTAGGATTGCCATGATTTTGAGGCCAGTTTAGACTGCCTAGTAAGGCCCTATGAAAAAAATAAAATAAACGCATGGCACAGGCTTTTTTTTTTTTTTTTTTTTCTCCGAATGCCTTCAGGGCAGGTTTGGCTGGCTTGAGTTGTGGGGATCGAACCACAGCAGCCTGAGCCTGACTGCTTTGTTGAAGCAGCCACTTAAAGAACTGAGCTAAGGGGCAGCCCCCTGGCATAGGCTTTTAATCCCAGCATTTGGAGGGCTGAGGCAAGACAACAGCTGTGAGTTTGAGGCCAGCCTGGGCTATATAGCAAGCTCAAGGCCAGCCTGATCCCTGTAGTAGAAATCTGTCTCCAAAAAATAATAAGTTTTGGGCTGGTGAGATGGCTCAGTGGTCTGTCTAAAGCACCTACTTAGAACAAGCTTAACAAAGCACAAGGACCTCGGTTCAATCCCCCAGCACCACATGCCAGCCAGCCCCGCCCCCTGGTGGGCTGAGCTGCCCCCCCCCCCACAAATAAATAAATAAATAAATTTAAAAAAAAAACCAAAAAATAATAAGTTTTGATTTTTAAAGATTGCCTAGCAGGGTCTTGGAAAACCTCCAAGCCCCCCCCCCCCAACACTTTGGGAATAGCCATACTGTGTATGTCTTTCTCTTCTCTTTACATTTTTATCTGTTTCAGACAAGGTCTTGCTACATTGTCCAGGCTGGCCACAATGTGGCCACCTGGCCTCAACCTTGAAATCTTCCTGCCTTAGCCTCCCAAATGCTGGGGTTACAGGCTATACCACGGTTGCTTTTATTTTTTATTTTTTTTTTAAAGGCAGGGTCTCACTATGCAGTCAGGCTGGCCTTGAGCTTACTATGTAGCCCAGGCTGGCCTCTACCAGTAATTCTCAGTGCACCCCGTGGGCGGGGCTGGCATGGCATATTATTATGTTTTTATTTATTTTTATTTTGGTACAGGGTCTCACTATGCAGTTTGAACTTATAGTCATCCTCCTGCCTCAGCCTTCTCAGCACTGGAATTATAGACGTGCACCACCATGCCCAGTTTGGCATGGCATGCCCAAGGTTCCAGGGCTCAGCCAGCATGTGGTACCTGTGATCAAACCTGGGTCCTTGCACTTGCCAGGCAGGTGTTTATGCCACCGAGCTCTCTCTCCAGCCCTGTTTTCTAACTTTTCAGGTTCAAAAACAGTGTGAATGTTTATTTTACTCATTTATTTATTTTAGTTTTGTAAGATAGCATTTTACTACATAGCTCAGGCTGGCCTTGAACTTACAGTGATCCTCCTGCTTCAGCCTCCCAAGTGCTGGAATTACAGACATGTGTCACCAAAGCACAGTTCCTGTCCCCAGGTTCCCAGAATGAACCAAAATTAGGGTCAGTAAATAGTGAAGCGGGCTTGACTGTTGCCTAGCATGCACCAGGCCTTCGGTTGGATCCCCAGCACTGCAGGGGGAAAAAAGTGGTGAAAAGAGCGCTACACAACATGTTCTAGAAGTACTTTCACTGTATGATCTCTTGCTTTTCTGCGTGCAGGGGTGGGGGGAGCTGCAGCCAAGTTTGGAAGTGATTGTCTTCCCCTTGTCTGTGTAAATGAGTTAAATATAAAATATTATAGCAATACCTTTATTTGCATGAAGCCCTTACTGCGTGTAAGCAGCTGGACTTTGGGTTCTGAGGTTTGCCTGTTTGCTTGCTTTTTAACAATGCTGTATATGTGGACATTTATAGAAGTCTTACAAATTAGTCTATAGTCACCAAATTCTTAAAATCTATAAATATTTATTAAATTTTTTTTAGGTTGCCATAAAAATAATTGACAAAACGCAGTTGAATCCAACAAGTCTACAGAAGGTAAGATTGGTCTGTATTTTTAAGCAGTTTTTTTTATTAATTCCATTTAATTTGTTCCTTTAATATTTTTAGTTTTCTTTCTTTCTTTTTTTTAGTTTTATTTCTTATATTCAATGCAGTAAAATTTTCTGTTCCTCAAATGAATGCACCTAAAATGGAGTATCTTATAAAATGGTTGGGTTATCTTCAGTTGAAGACAATAACCTTTAAATGTTAATAGCACAAGCTGAAGACTCTGCTCTTAAATAGCGTATTTTAAATATTGATAATTGTTCTTTAAATACAAAATTACTTCATGTACTTGGTATTATGTGGATTTGTACGTACGCTTTATTCTGTATTGAGAAATCTTTTGAGACAAGTGCTTTGACCCAGGCATGGTGCAACATACACAGTCTACACTGTTTGGGAGACTAAGGGAGGAGGATCACTTGAGCCCAGGAGTTTTGAGATCAGTCATGACAATACAGAAAGACCCTAACTCTAAAAAAAAAAACCCAAAAAACATAATTTCATTTTCTCAAGATGGGTATGTTAATGGAATCATGCATATAAAAGAACTTTACAAACTACATACTATAGTTATAAGCTGTTTTGATAAGTACAGTGCCCAGTACATGTTACTAATGTATTCCTAATGGATATATATATCCTAATAATTTGAAGTACTGTCCTTGTTATGTCTGTGGGCTATGGAAAAAGCATGGACTTTATCTTATACTAAATTTGGTGTTTAAGGGGTCAGCAGACTAAAGTGCCTGCTTAGGCAAGTGCAGGGACCTCCTGCACCACGTGTTGTGCCAGCCCTACCTCCAGGGTGTGCTGAGCCAGCCTGTGATCCGAGCACTGGGGAGGCTAAAAACAGGAGGATCACTGTGAGTCTGAGCTGCATAGTGAGACCCTGTAACAAGCAAATACATTAAATAAATAATTTTGGTGTTTAAACAGCTTGGTTTTTGTGATCTGCAATGCAGAATAGCTCTTCAAGCTTCTCAAGGGGACCCTAAAACAGATTCTTGGAGAATTCCACTTCCTTGTTCTGAAGAATTATTTTTTCCCATTTTCTTAAACTTTCTATTCTTCTCTATATGTAACAACTTAGTACTAATATGTAATAGATTACTAAAATTCAGTGCTATATTTAGGGCTCAGATTGTAAAGTTTATTAAGGAGTCTAATTCAGTATTATGTGGTGTTACAAATCTTCCACTTGTCCTGTGTACTTGGAAATAATTAGAGCTCAACAGTTTGCTAGGAATATTTTGTCACAGTGTTGTCTCAGGATGGCTCCAATTTTTTCTTCCTTCTTGCTTGCTTTTATTTTTTATCACTTTTGGCTATAGTAGTTACTTGTTACTATTCTTTTCATTAGTACTGCGCATTACTGTTGGTTGTATTGGATGTTCAGGTAGCCCGATATTGTGATTGTGGATTTTTGACCAACATTAATTTTGACTTACAGTCTGATACATTGAAGCTTTTAAGGTTTGTTTATGGTATAGCTCAAGTATGACTCGTCTCTCGGGAACATCCCAAAGCTAGGTATATCCTAGTTATATCATTGGTAAGTACAATACGCTATTGGTTTTTTTTTAATGTATTTGGCACAGGATCTCACTATGCCGCTCAGACTCATAGTGATCCTCCTTGTTCAGCCTCCCCAGTGCTGGGATTACAGGTGTGCGCCAGCACACCCAGTGTTGGTGGCCAGTTCAGCACACCCGGGGGGCTGGCATGGCATGTGGTTCTGGGGATTGAACCCTGATCCCTGCGCTTGTCTAAGCAGGCGCTTAGTCTGCTGAGCTGTCTTTCTGGCCCAATACACTCAGTTAAAGGGCATTACTTAAAATCATGTGCACAAGTTCGTGGTCTTCTCTTATAGAGCAAATAGGAAGCATTCCTCTGTGTTCATGTCAAATTCTTTCTCACTAAATATTTCTCCGTGGTGGAAGAATGGCAGCAGGGTGTGGTGTGCGGGTGGCTCTGGACTTCTGTCTTTAGCATAGTGTTCTTGCCCCTTGTTTCCTTCCTAGCACTGTTGACAGTTGTATCGTTTTGGCACCAGGAGCTGCCCTCCGCACTAACATTACTGGAAGGAACCTCATGCCCTCTGCAATAGGCAGTTCATTTATGCTGCCACTGTCCGAAGAGGTGCCCCACACTGTTGAGGGGAATTCAAATGCGAGTTAAGGTGGTGACTTTTTTCGCAGTATTCAGGCTGGCACACTGAGTCATGTGCCTGTGTGTGTGCGTAAACCTGAATTGACTTCAGATTTGCAAACTGGTATTATTAGCACAGATGAGTCTTCATTTTTCCTGTTCCTAGATATTATTTTAATGAACATTAGATTCTAGTAAGATTGAGTTTTCCTCATACTTTTGTACTTACTATCTTCTGTTTACTATTAGTGGAATACTACTCTGTTCATGAGTGTCTTTTCAGTAAACTTTCAAAGAACTCTATAATGTTGCATAACCTGTAGTGGTTTTGTAAACAGCAGAAATAACTAAAATTGTAGTCTCCTTACTGGTCTTTTAAATCATTTTAAGATTCAGTTTGGTTACACATCAGGGAATCTTTTTGGATCTTCTCTTACTAAATCTAAGACTATGATTAAGAAGCAAGTCATGTCTCATTAGAAAAGAAAATGTGTTTACCTGTTTAGAGATACTACACTTTATCAAAACACATCAGTACATCTGAAGTTACTAATTCTCCCTTTTAGTCTGGGAGTAGACTGACTCTTAACTCAGGCAGAAAGTTTAGGAGCACGGGGCAGCCAGACTACATAGATTTAGATTCAGGCTTCAACCCTATCTAGCTTGGTGATGAGTTACTTAACCTCCGAGTCTCCATAACAGCTTCTTAGAGGGTTGTAGCAACTTAGCTAATATTTAAAGGCCCTGAGGCAGAGCTCAAGTACCGGGCATGACTAAGGGCTCTTGAGTGCTTGCCATTACCATGTGCTCAGCTGAATAGTTGATTTGAGTTTGCTTGGTTTGGGTGGGTGGATATATTTTTGTTTGCTTAAAATTTTCCCTCATAGGAAATAAGTAAAATTTAAAAATTGAATGGTAGGTTTCAGCTAGGCCTTTTGGTAGGGTCTAATTTTGATGGATTATTTCTGATAATAGTGATTTGTTAATCACTGTGTTTACTCATTTAACTTCTACAACTTCATGAAGTACATTTTGTTCTTAATGAAAGGGAGTATCGTAGCTGTTTATGGAAATGATGGAAACTCTTACCAGTTATCCTACAGTAGTGTAGGTAGCATTGAGTCCATTGTTGTGAACTCCACATGCAGGCAAGTTTGTTTTAGTTCCGATGATAGAGAACTGAAAGTAAAACCATGCTAGGAATGCTAACATCAGGTTGCTATTCATCAGACACCACTTAGAAGCCCTACCCTCTCGCCTTAGCTAGTCTGGTAGACACATCACTTCCTTTACACTGTTGGTATTACTGCTATCCTTCCTTGCCAGTAGGGTTTCACACTGATTCCAAAATAATGGGCTCTGTGTACGGGGAGATGGCTCAATAGAACGGCCTGAGTTCAATCCCCAGTTCCGCCAAAAAAAAAAAAAAAAACGCCAAAAAAAAAAAAAAAAAAAAGTGATAATAAAATAAATGAATAAATAAAATCTGAAATGCTCCAAAATCTGAAAGCAAAGTATGGGCCTTTTCTAATCCATTATGCTCCCTTACTGTAATTAACTAAATTCCCAGATTTGAGATTTCCAAAAGCCTAGATAGGAATTGACAGTTTCCACTGAGGTGGCTATAAAAAGTGGAACAGTAGTTTCAAGTTTGGGAGAATAATTCGAATAACTTAAGAGAAATAGGTTTTGTATCATTCTTCCCTTTCCAAATACATCAAAAGCCATGGGTTTTTGTTTGTTTCTTTGAGACAGGGTCTTGGTCAGCCTTGAATTCACTGGGTAGCCTAGACTGGCCTAAAACTCAAGGCAGTCCTCCTGCCTCAGCCTACTAAATGCTGAGATTATGGAATGTGTCACCATCCCTAGCATACAACCATGTTTTTATCCAAGTTTACTTTCCTAGTAAACTTCCTCATCCATCTAACACATACTAGTGAACATCTGGTTGAACAACTGATTGAATGAACATCTGTGAGTACAGTGTTGATCTAATTGAAATACTATTCTTATGGACCTGACGTACTAGGAGAGAGCAACAATAAACACACTTATAATATAATGTCGCGTGAGCACTATGAAGCAAATGATAGCAGGCATATTAACCATGTGTGTTCTTAATGCTGTGACATCTGAAGCCTTGCTGGGCCCACCCAGGGTGAACTGCTTCCTAGAAATAAAAGCCCAGAACGCCTGAGGGGCTGGCACAGCATGTGGTGCTGGGGATCAAACTCAGGTCCTTGCACTTGCCAGGCAGGAGCTTAGATCACGAAGCTGTCTTTCCAGCCCCATATTAAGTTTTTATTTATTTTTTATTTTTTGTTATTATTTTGTGAACTAAGAAAAAGTTTTCATGATAGCAAAGAGGTACTAAGAGTAAAACATAAGATAAATAGTGGAATGGCAAGTAAATGACCAGCACTTGTAACAGTTTGAAGATACAATATCGCACAAAGTTCTAGTGCGTTGTGGACATGGACAATGACCATGACAGTTACTGGTGGCCAGGCATCACTTGTGGGACAGCTATTTTTTTGAAATCCACTCTGTATACTCAGATGTAATCATGACCCATAAGGTGGAAGAGCAGTCCATTTGTAGGGTGTGCTGATGGAAATATTTTGCTGCTGAACACAAAAGAATAACTGAAAGACTACTATTGTATACCTCTTATTCTTCTGTGTTTGTTTGCCCTATTTGATGGGTTCTTTCCATTCTCATTCATGGGGCTGTGATCTATTTGCTCCCTCTCTAGAACATCATTTAGTAATCTGTGTAGGCTTGGCTTTGTCATCATGAAATTCTTTAGTTGTTCTTTGTCATGGAAATATTTTACTTCT